GAGGAGGAGAGAGCGAGCGAGGAGGAGGCAAGCGAGCGGAGTGAGGAGGAGGAGAAGGAGTAAGGTAACAACAGTTTACCGCTGTTACATCTTCCATAATCAGGGTGTAATAATGACACATTGTCAGTAATGAACAACCTTTGCCAAATGTACAAGTCGCCAGCATAATTATTAACCCAGCCTAACACACCATCCAGAGAAACCCCAACCAACAATCCAGATTAACCAGATCTTGTTAACCCGGTCACAACGACAAGATTAACAATAACAAGAACGTCTCACACACTGATCATATGTAATGCTTGGTACCAATAGATATCTACGAATAATAGTGGCATCAGTAGCATCGTAAACGTAAAGTAATAGTGACCTTACATGGAGAGTAAAATAATACAGTTATGCATACATGTGCTCAAGGCCGTACGCAGGAAATTTTCTGTAGGTGGGCAAAGGTACTCCCCATGCCCCCTGTGCCCTAAAAGTTTCGCAATTTCACAGTTCTTTTATCTTAAAGTAGTAATATTTACTTGATGATTTAAAATAACCTTTTGTCACATTATCTATTTTATTTCTAAAAGTCGATACAGTATTTGTCTCCCATTAAAAGACATTACCTGAAAATCTCCTAGGGGGGCGGGGGCAACTGCCCCTGCTGCCCCCCCTGCTGGCGTACGGCCCTGCATGAGCTCATTACATGCGAGCCATGTCTCGCAAAATTAACTTCTGGGTGAATATTAAGCAAATATCATTATACAGCTAGAGCTACAACACAGTAAGTGATTCATCCAACATTGGACTTACTTGGTATTTAAAATGGCCCACAGAAGTGTGGATGTGTAACGTATTTTCTACATTTCCTTCTTGCCTCGCTAAAAACACGATGTCAAATGTTGTGTTGCCACCAGGTGACAAAACCTGAAAGTTGTAAAGAAAGCACGAGCATGATTAATGAAACTCGTAATAGTGTCCACAACTATAATTCAGTCCAACAATAACACTAATAACCGTTATACTTTAAGCAACAGGATCCCACACAAGACGAGGCAGAATACGCAACAGGACAGCGAGATACACTGTGAAATGAAAAGGACAAAGACGGAGACAGACGCATATATCTTGATAAAGACAGTCATTATTATAGAATCTAAGATGCATACACACAAACACACTATTTAGCAATTATTCGCCGAAGGCGAGGTGAATAATTGTTTTAGTATCATTGCCCGAGTGATTACTTTTTTCAAAGAAAATTTATTTTAAATAAATACTTTTTTTTTTCAAAGGAAAATTATTTTAAATAAATTATTTATTAATTATTTATTAATTTAAAAAAAATAGAAAAAAATATAATAATTAATAATTAATTTATTTAAAATAAATTTTCTTTGAAAAAAAAAAGTTTGGCACTACAAAATTTGCCGTGACATTTACAAATCTAGCCGCCATTTTTGGCGCCACTACAATGTAAACCCTAGAGGTGATTATCGAAAAATAATCACCTAGGTCTCGACTAATCAGCGCGCAGGATTTCCTATAATCACTCGGGCGATGATACTAAATATATATATATATATACAACATAAATATACTGATACAAATACACCACACACAGCACCCTAGAAAAGGAAAAGACAGAGACGCTAAAAAATGAACAATGTCAGTCTAGAACTTTGCTATCCATAAATAGACCATTCAATTCGATATACACGTTAAATTTGCAGTCCCTGCTTCAGGAAATTGCACGAAAAAGCACCAAGCCAGTATTTTTTTCTAAATACGGTCAAGAATAGAATAGCAATATATTGCCGAGATGTTAAAAAGCGGGAAAAAACGTTCGAATTCAAACTTTTTCGTATTGACATCAAACAGGGAGGGACAAAGGATTCTCTGCAGCTGATAACTGCCAAGCAATTTAGCAGAGTGCTACGTGTGTGCGTGCGTGCGTGCGTATGTCGCATTAACCGTGCTTTGCTTTAAGACACGAGGTTCATGAAATTTATTAGGTTTATTAGGTGCAGTTATCCAACCAACACGGGAGCCGAAAGTATAAATAAATAAATAAATAAAAATAAATGAAAAATATATAGAAAATTATATATATCGGTGTGTTTCAAGATAGCTACGCCTAAAAAGGGACGAGAATATTCAATAATTTCCTAGCAGCCTCCAGTACGTAATAAATCCTACGTAACCGAACGCTTCCTTTGCTAAGAATGCCGTAACGAGCACTACTGTGGGGAATCAGAAAGCAATCCGAGGATTTATGTGCGTTTCAATGTTATTCGAGCTGTAAACTTGGATAAAATTTCTCAACACTAGTGAGACAGAGCGAGAGGGAGATACAAACACGCACACACGCACGCACACACGCACACACACGCACACACACAAAGGAGAGAAAGATAGACAGAGTACGTGAGAGAGAAAGAGAGAGGGGAGAGAGGAGAGAGAGAGAGAGAGAGAGAGAGAGAGAGAGAGAG